CTTGCTCTTCCGAGCTCGTCTCATCCTCAGTCTCGAGGATCTCAGTCGCCACCGAATCCCTTGGCGACTCCCTGGAACTGTGGCGCGCAGCAGCTTCCGCTGCGACGGCTGCTCCACTGCCTGCTAGAATATCCAGGGCAGTGGGAGATCCCAATGCTTGAGCCCCTGTTCCGGCTTGATCTTCGGTTTGTGAAGGGGTCGACGCCGCAGTGACTTTTGTCACTCTTGATCCGCCCGCTTCTGCTGCCTGTCCTTCCGGCGCAATCTGCGCGGAAGGTGTCCTTGCTGAAGGTGCGTCCGCCGAAGGCGTCCGCACACTCGTCGTTGGCCCCATCTGTCTCGCAGTCGGCGAATCCGACTGACTCTCTGTTGTCCGACTCGCAGTCGGCCGACCAGCAGTTGTCCGACTGGGAGTCGGATACACCCTGCGCGTCTTGACTCCACTTGGCCTGCTTGCTGGTGGCGTTCTTCCAGAAGTGCCTTCCGCCGAAGACGACCCTCTGAGGATTGTTGGCTCGTCAGCCAAACTCTCTTCCGCTTCCGGCCTGCTGTCCGGTTCAACGCGCCGTTCAGTTGGCCTTCCTTCCGCTTGTCGACTTTCAGTCATCCGACTCGCAGTCGGCCGGTCGTCAGTCCGTCCATCTCCTCCCGAAGGCCGTGGTGCCTTCTGTGCAGAGGTTTCTGCCGTCTTCCCTAGGACCTGAGCAATTATCTCTTCCTGTGTGAGATTCCGCCGCGTCGGAGTTCGCCTGGTCTCCTCAGTAACAGTTGGCATTCTGCGTGCCCTCTGTTTTGGTCGACTGTGAGGCTCGGGGGTGGGCCGACCACGAGTCGGCGCAGCTGGTACTTCCGGCTGCCTGTCCTCAGGTCTCTCATCCCACTTCCGCTTGCGCGGAATGCGCTCACTTCGACGTTCTTCTGCTGCTCTGGCTGGAGCCGGAGCCGGAGGCGTACTGGCAGGTTCCTCGTCCGGATCCGTGTCTACTTCGGCCTCCCTCGAATATCTACCTGGATAAGTCCGGCTCAGCTGCGGAAACCGAGTTTTCTCAGCATTCGTCAAACATCCCATCGCCCGGTAAAACACGATTAAGTAAGGCGATAGATGATTGAGCGTTCCTCCCCTCTCTTCTTGCGCATGTTGGCGCGTCACCTTCCACAGGAGCCGTGCCCAATGCACCGGAGCTCCTGACAACACTAGCTCCACGAACTCTACCTGCCAACCATGCATGTAAGCGGTCTTGGTCGGCTGCAATATCTGCAGCAATGCCGTCGCGACATTTCTCCGCAATCGATCCTTGTAATCCCGTGTCCGGAAACCGTTCTTGGGATGTCTAGCCACCTTGAAGAGCTCATTGTAAGAGACTTCTTCCTCCTGGGACACTTTCACGCTGTCGGCCTCGAAGAGGAGATCCCCTTCCTCGCCGGCACACCTGCCCAACACCTGCGCCCAATTGCAAATTTCCCATCTCTCTGGGTGTGGGCGAAATCCGCGAGAAGGCTTGTGTCTCTCTTGCAGATACTCGCGCACCATCTCCGGACATGTCCAATTCCACCCCCAGAGGAGAAAATCGAGCTTCAGCCTCGTCAGCACATCTTGAAATGCGCGTAGACCGATCTGCGGCACCCTGAGTGGAGACACTCGCAGCTGGGGAACCTTCGACATTGCGTTGCCTGCACACACAAACGTTCTCCCTTTCGCTCGCTCTCTCACAATTGCCACTGCGCGTCGGCCACTCAAGCACTGACTGCTCACTCTCTCTGCGCTCGTTCAAGATCGCTACTCCCAATTCTTTCAAGGTCCGCCAAGATCCTTGTGCAACTCGTCTCCGCACTCTCTACTCTTACTGCAGGTCGCTCCGCCCTTGCGCGTAATCTTGGAACTGGAAATTGCAAAGTCAAGAATGAGAGAATGAGACTGGAGCGCAGTCTTTTCTTCTCCGATTTCAAGAACGTCCAACGTTCTTACTGGTTGCAACGTACGCAGCCGGCTATACGGCTTAACGGTTCGCCCTTTGCATGCGCGAATTCACGTCTCCGCATTGCGCGCATTCGCATGCTTAAACGTTGAATTCTCCCGCCGCCGCCACCTTCCGGACTCGAGTCCGCTGCAGGGTATACGTCGGCCCTGTTGTCTTTTCCTAACCCGCCCTTCTCCGGAGGCGTGTCGCCGCTGGTGCGTTCATTATCCGTCGGCGCCTTGCTGGAGGCGCACATCCAGTCGGATCGAATTATGCCGGCGCGCAGTCGTACCGCCTATTTTGTCCTTTATGCCTCATCCGTTGCTGCCGGCGCATATCCGCCAGCGCAACTCATGTCAGCGCATCCGACTGTCAGCGCATCCGACTGTCAGCGCCACGTCGGAGGCGTACATCCGACCGGCGCTTTCCTTCCATGAACAGCCGCCAAAGGCGCTTCCGACTCTGAGTGGGTTTCCTCCTATGAGCGCGTGATTCCACCGAAGGCGCATCGCCGAGGGCGTACGGGAATCCTTTCCGGCTGTGAACCCTAGCGCGAACGGCGCATGTCCGGCTACGAGTTTTCCGACGCTCATAACTTCTCCATTCCTGATCCATCTCCGACGCTCTTGGACTCGTTAGAACGAGCATCCCGAGCTCTTTCTAATGCAACTTCAACCAACTGGATCTACCGTGTATCCCGATTGTTATGAAGGTTTTCCCTTTTCGTGCTAGCGGCGCTTCGCCGAAGGCGCACTCATGGTCGGATGCCTTTAGAGGTCCGGGCCCTTCTCCTGACGTCTTTAGCAAAACCTCCTCCTGAGGTGTCTGCGCCGGAAGCGTAGCTTCCTTATACGCTAGAGGCGCGTGAATAGAGACACCTCAAAAAGGAGCTTTTGCCGAAGGCGCCGAAGACGTTGGCGTTGGTACATCCGACTACGTGATTCTTTGTGCCCTCGTGACGATCTCATCAATCCATTCTATTTAGCGTACCCTTCTCTAGCTACAAACACTGCTTTGGTACTAGTTTTCTAAAATTGTTTAAATTCTGCAAAAAAAACAAAAAGTGTGTTACCACATATATGCAACATTGCACTCTCCAGCTTTTAGTCCTACAAGAATTTCTGACCTAAGTTACCAGTTTCCAACTTACTCATTGCAGTAAGTTGCACTTAGTCCTGTATTTGGTTACTGACACCACGTAACTGTGTACTCAAGAGCTAAGGCTGCGAAGGTCAAAGTGTGACTATACTAGCGCATGTCATTGAAATGTACACATTGTCTTCAAATATCCTCGTCCAAATCGTTTCCTTCTTAAATATCAGCTCAGAGCACGACCATAAAACTCGATGAACAAGTTGGATTGACGATCATCAAAGCACATGATACCATTTCAGCAAACGCTAAACTGTATGCACATGACAAATGAATAACCGTACCGTTGAGCATCTTCTTAGAAATCCAAATTAGTTTAGGTAATGGTAAGGAACAAGGCATGGAGCTAGCCTTTAAAGCTCAGTGCAAAAGCGTCTGTGATTAAAGTATATGAGATTTGCATTACCATCCTAATGAACTGCAAACCTAAGACTTTCCTTTCCAGCTCCATAACGATTTAGATTTTACTCAATCCTACTCAACTAACCATTCGGTAACGCCCACGCACCCATCGGGTGATCAGGATATTTTGTATTTTTAGGCCCTAAAAGGCTTGAAAAGCTTTAATCTGTTGCATCGGTCTTATAGAATCAACTAGACATAACTAGCACAATACTTGACAATGGTTGAACATTAATCCCTCCAACACACAATAGCTCAATGAGTCTCCAAAATTGCCTGATATTCAACCATTGTACAGCAGTAGCAACCTGCATCTTCCTTATCGGACCAAGTTTAAACATCGCTCCTTTTTCCATCCTTCACAATAACTGAAGAGTATAGACTAGTCATCAAAAAACAGCATTCCTCAAAGTCATCTACAATTCAAAACAATGTGGACCTGCACAGTCTTCAAAATCTACTTCTAACCTCTTTTACTAGTTCACTTTCGTAAGAACGATTGGACTGTTATCAACTTTATAATAGTGTTTACGTACATTCTTACAGGTATAGTTGAAACATTTCAAGGGATCAAATAAGTGCACTTCTTAAACTTAAAATGTCAAAGTCTTATAGTGTGTAACCTATGTAACAAAAATCTAACTTTTCGGATTACTCTAAACTGAAAATTTATTACTATCTCTTGCTCATATAAATTAACGTGGCATGTTTGAAGTTCGTTTTATGTTTGTAAGAGAATTTTTCAAATTAAGCAAGATCTTTCAATATATTCAGCAGCCTTACGTTTCCTAATATTTGAATACTGTTGATTTTGAAATTGATTGGGATTTACGCTGCAAAATAGTTGGTCATCGTTATTATCGTCAAGTAGTCTTTTATTGCTTACAACGACGGTATTCTCCAGAAAGTTGGAATGTTTCTTCCTTTCAACTACCAAGAAATGAATAAATACATGTAAAGTTTATTGAGTTAATTGGCTCAAAATCTTTTCCAAAAATCATTTCTTGGAACGCAGGTGTGTGTGTGTATATATATATATATATATATCCACGTATATTTACATAAGCATACTTAATTCAAAATTTTGATAAATTTCATACAGAATGTAAAAATATGAAGATTTCAGTGCCTGTTCTTGAGCCACATGTAGAGTTGAACATAAGAGCATTACATATCATTCACTTGTCCGAAGCCGATTCTATTTCAAACTGCATCACAAACTCAACATCTTGATTTTTATAGGGACGGTGCATATTCTAACACTGAAGGGTACAAACTTTGGGATCGCTCTGCATGTACCAGAATGGGATCGACCATCTTTAAGGAAAGTATCGACTCTTGGAACTAGGAACTGCAACAATACTAGCTGATCCGCGCTCAAGATTAGCACAGAATACCCAGACCGAGATACGCAGTCATCAAGAGCGCAGTATGAGCTGATTCACTCGAGCATTAAGGGACATAAAATCTACAATGTCAAGATAATTAGCATGATTTTATTTGAGTCGATTAGTTCAAGTTCTGGCCTTTATACAAACACGAAATAAAGGTTCGACGAGAAAGTCGCGAACTGTAATTGTTTTTTTGGAGTGATCCTCTTTGGAATGATCCGTGCTCGTATGAGGATCGACATTTCTCAATGACAAGCTTCTAATTCCTAAGGTCAAGAACCTATGGACATGGGCTTTTGTATCAGGGCTAGGACTAAAACAAAACTTTTCTTTTTTAGCTTGTAAACAAGTTTAGCAGAAACCCGAATACCCTTAATACTATTGCCTATTACCGTGCTCACATGGAAGATCCGTGTAAAGTTTACACGGATGTTTAGGGCTTACATTATAAACCCTAAACTTGATCCCTGTCTTTTTGGAAAACGGGTGCGTACTTAACTGGGAGGTTACTGTACTTAGAAAGCTTTCTAAGTACAGTAACCTCATGTATCCGAAGAATTGCTACGCATCTCTCAAATGAGCATCTAAAGTGAATAGCCGACGTTCAGTTACTTCACCTATTTGAGCTTGTGCTGTTTACCTTAGTAAACGCTGCAAAACTCAGCACAGCTCTCAATGAAGTCACGGGCTGCCCAAAAGTCTCATGGAGGTTGTGTGTATTCCACAGTACGAGTTCATTTATAAGCCTGAAAATTTCTGCTCCTGTTTAGATTGAAATACTCCACTGGATGCCCTTGCCGGTGATCCCAGGTTCAGATGTAGGATACATGAGAGTGTAACCAGTTGTCATAAGAGCTCCATGTCTGTTGAACAATTCCGGATTCTCGTTCCTCTGCTTGAACATGAGCTCCAAGCGGGCCAGGAGATATGAATACCTCTGAAAAACCAGTTTCGCCTCGAGATCCGACGTCTAGTTGGGGACCGAAAGCGCTTCCATTTACCTTCCAGACCTTTGCCGGGGAATGCGAAGCATTTTGAAGCTGCATTTGTCGCCTCGTCGATGGATCCATCAAAAATGGGGTCTGCCTCCGCATTTAATTTAGAGTTTACTGATTCGAAAGGAAGTGCATCTGCATAGGGAAAGACCGAGACTCTGCTGTTCGATTCAATGGCGTTCCAGCTCTCCTTTGAAAGCTTCTCTTCGTGAACGCAGTTCTTGGCAGCAACGTCTCGGAGTTGGATCACGGCTTCACAGCACCGTTTCGCAGGTGGCTTTGTCTCGAGATTAGGCCCACAATTTCTCCGACACCTCCTATCACATAATGGTTTTGTCAGCCCGCACGATCGTTCCATTGAGCACGCGATCCCTTCTTCACGGCTACTCTGTTAGCAACGACCCTCGCTTGCAGGCTGCTAAGCTTCCTCCTCGTGATGATGTCGAAAGAATAGAAATTAGATCTGCGGAATCCACCTACGCTTGAAGTTCTGGACCCAAAACCTCAAAGGTCGAGGGTCCAAGATCATAAGTCGGTGCATATCAGCCGTGTGCATTCTTTGCTGAGCTCTCCGTCTCAAATCAGCAATTTCACAGGACCATGATGCGAGAAAAACACCAGATGCCTGAGGATTGGGCACTGAGGAAAGGAAGATCGCCCAAAGTGCGTCCTCACCCCGAACAGCTGGTGGAAGCAAAATTCCACCAGTGCGCGCCAAAGAGAGTTTAGGGTAGAGTTTTGGGAACTTCTATACCGCCAGCTCCCCGGTCAGGGCTTCACAACTCACCCGTGAAATACGGCCCATATAAATTTGAGCCGGCATATATGGCCGCATTTTGTGCATGTCCTCTAGATCGTACAACGGCAGGACCTTATTATACAGTCAGGTCCTGGGTATCTACAGCCTAGCCAGGCACGAGAAAATTACTTGATGGGAATCCCGGGAAGTCAAAACACTTGATGGGACCCATCGAAGTCCCTACAGTCCACAGTCAGTGATGTTCCAATAAGATGGGGGTTTTTTTGGTAGTAATATGAAGTCATGGCAAGATTATACCGGGAGTACAGAATCATGGTGCTCGTCGTTTTCTCAGACATGGCTGGGATCAGACGAGTCGCCAAAATATACTCTGGCCCCACGAGGCAGACAATCCCCACACTTTGGAGAAAATTAGCTGGTTATAAGAATTTTTGTTGGAACATGGATTAGTATGGGCCGCATGGCGTAGAATAGTCCCATCGGGTTGTTGGGTCCGTTCAAGAGAATTGAGTTTCTCAGTGGTCCTATCAAGTAATTTCCTCGCAAGACACTCTGCAGCCGGATCTATCATCTTAGATGATAGATCCGACTGCACATACTGGATGGTAGATGAATCATCTACCATCCAGTATGTGCGAACAGGCAAGGCATGAACCTTGTTAGTCTTTCTCGAGAAACAAAAGTAGTTGATTGATAAATTAAATATCGGTGGAATTCGAACTACGTACCGTAACATTTGGCATTTTTCGAGTCGTGAGCACCTTAACACCGTGGACCTCCAAGTTTTCTGGCTGCCTGGTGTCACCTTATCCGGTTCTCAGGTCTCGTTGAACGGCGTGCAATTATATTAATTTCCTCATGCTGGTCTCTCTGTGGATTCTTCGCCGTGATTGTTGCCAGGACTCCCTCACTTACTGCGAAATATCACAGTGTACCTTATTCCCCAAACTGCGAATGCGAAACACGTGCAAATGCGAGCCGACCTGGCATTTGCACGGTTCGAACTTTGAGGCTGGAGGTAGCTAGAGCATCCTGGTCTGCGAGGTGCTTCATGATCAGCATAAGACGATTGCATGGATCAAGTAGGACACTTCAACTTTCAGCAAACAGAAGATACTCTATACACGTAACAATTTCCAGCGGTGCAATTCCAGTCCTTTTGTTTTATATTACTGAAGTAGGTCATAAACGTAGTAAGAAATTTACTTATTAGCTCCACTTTCGCCTCAACGCTTTTGCTACACGTGGTCTCTGCTAACCGAGTTGCGGTATATCGTGAATCTCAAACTTGTCCTTGTCCTTTAATTGTCTTTGCAAATAAACGGGGACCAAACCTTAAAAAGTTCCTCCTGCTTATTGGGTGGAGCTTTGGAAATCAGAAGATCCGACGTCTTTTTGGAGAAATTGTAGTTCTGTACATCCAATTTGCTTTTGATTGGAGTGCGGACACAGACGATTCGATGTTTTGGGTGCGAGACCAATGGACTCAGATGTCGAGATACTCGGGCCATTTCTTCCCTAGCACCCACAGCAACTTGACCTTCAACAATTTGCAACCGTGTGAGCTCCTGCCAGCAACGGTAGCGTCAGCTCTGAATGTGATACAAATCTCCTGCGTCTAGTTCCGGGGACCAAGCAACGCAAATTGAGGTTCACCAAGCTGCTGCAACGCTTGGGATTGACGAATGGAAAACTCCGTGGATGAAAGAAATATTGATAATAACAGGTATTTATTATCTATTGTCATTTATGAAAGATACTTGTCGGATCAGTATAATCCTATCAAGCAAACAATTCTTCAATATAACTACATCTCCAATATCATCAATACCTTCTGTTCTCTAAATAAATTAATCTACATCTAAATTATAGTGTGCTGGACTTTCAAGGAGCTCATGATTTAAGCTTGCCCTTTCTTCTCAAAATATAGTCCTTTGGGATGGATCTTAGATGTAGCTAGAAACTCTGAAGAACTGACAAACACCTCTTCTTGCTCTGGGAATGTCTTGTAAATCTATCCGATGAAGTCACCAGGAGTTTCCCTGGGTCAATCAATCAATAAAAGTTTCAGGTCCAAAACGTTAGACTCCTCAATGCTTACAAAAGGTACTTACAATATTTGGATTACTTACATGTTTGCTTTCTGGATGGCCCTGGAGGTTGTAGAGAAATGAACTTGTAATACCATATCGCTCATTTGCACTCACCTTCTAAACTTTATGAGCTGATTCACTCGAGCATTAAGGGACATTAAATCTACAATGTCAAGATAATTAGCATGATTTTATTTGAGTCGATTAGTTCAAGTTCTGGCCAAGATTATTATATCGCTTTCTGCTGAGATTCAAGCAGTTTGATCCTAATCTTAGATATTAGAAAACATTGGGTGTCACAGACTCCTTAAAACGTGAAATTGTCACCTAGCCTGATCTCCGGCAAGTCCTTCATCTTCTGCAATAGGAAGACGATTTTAGTGGTGGGAGTGGATAACACAGATAGGCTTTTGCAATCTGCAAAAGCCTATCTGTGTTGTGGAAGCACGAGAATCGAATTTAGAGAATAATTTTAATGTTGACGGTAATTTTTTAACCAGTAGATACATCATATTCAGTGATTAATGTTTAACCGACCATGAGGTTAGCCTACGTTTCGAAGGGCCGTTACTTCCCTCACTGCTCTAGAAATTGAGGTGAAGATGTAGATTGCTGCCGGGAATTGAAAAGAGTAATCTCTTGCAACTACCGACTTCTTACAAAGCTGATGATCGGAAGAATTGCTGCGCATCTCTCCAATCAGCATCTTAAGTGATTAGCCGATGTTCAATTACTTCACCTATTTGAGCTTGTGCTGGTTACTAAGACCTTTCGCTGCAAAACTCAGGACAGCTCTTAATGAAGGCACAGGCTGCCCAAAGTCTCATGGAGGTTGTGTGTATTCCACAGTACGAGTTCATTTATAAGCCTGAAAATCTCTGCTCCTGTTTAGATTGAAATACTCCACGGGATTCCCTTGCCGGTGATCCCAGGTTCAGATGTAGGATACATGAGAGTGTAACCAGTTGTCATAAGAGCTCCATGTCTGTTGATCAACTCCGGGTTCTCGTTCCTCTGCTTGAACATGAGCTCCAAGCGGCCCAGCAGATCTGAATACCTCTGAAAAACCTGCTTCGCCTCGAGATCCGACGTCCAGTTGGCGTCGAGCCGCTGGCCGATGTATTCCTCGTCCTTGGCGTGAGATGACAGCACCTTGAGGGTGGTCATGATCTTGACACTTTGCTGCGGAGACGAGGTGACTCTGAAGATGTATTTCTCGAAATTGAACAGCATCCGCTTGTACTCGGTGGTGTTGGGCTCCGGGATCGGCATGCGAGTCATCGGAGGGCTGTTGGGCATGAAGCCGCAGTATCCGTATTGGCCGAAATTGACGGCAGCATGTTGCGGTCCTGCGATCCAGAAGATGTTGCACAGCACCCCGATCAAGCTGTCGACCGTCTTGCAAGTTGGCCACCACGGCTCGTCCTTCTTGTCCCCGTGCCCGACCTCGCGAATCTCCTTCCACCACGCTTGCAGCTCCTCGTCCTCGCGCACGCTATCGTCCGTCTTGTAGTAAAGTTTCACGTACCCGGTGATGTACTGCTTCGTGGCGTTCCACACGTCCAGCGCGTCCTTCGCGAATGGGTAGTCATCGAACAGAAGCTTCACTCCTGCGGGTGCTAGGTAGTCCGGTTCCGCCATTCCTCTGCCAAGGAATCAACCAACCAAGACTCGGAGGTGAGCTGGGTCGACAACCATTCCAAAATTGCTAATTTATCCATTCCATTTAAGTCTTATACACAGTTAAACCTCCCAAACGTAAAATTCCAAAACCATAACTATTTTATGTGTAAATGTGCTCAATAAGAAAGATATGTCAATAGTGACATGGTATTATCTAATGTTGACGGTTTGAATTATATTTTGGAGTTAAAATTTTTATCAGTTATTAAAAAATTTCACATTTAAAAAAAAATGTGACCTAGGGTTTATTTAAAGATCTAGATTTACAATTCAGTCCTTCTGGTCTTCAATAAAATACTTCCCTATATATATAATTATCAAATTTTTCACTCAGTTTTATGTGTATTAAGTTGATTTCAAACGTGATTATAAAATCTACGTTAATCCTGAATAGAATTTATCTGATAAGAATCACTATTGGGAAGTGTCATTTATTTTTTTTAAGTGCCACTTCCCAATAATGACATGTAACCCTAACACCAACGTATGTTTCCATTAACGCGGTTCTATTCAAAATTAGGCACACCCAAGAGTGACATCCAACTCTAACACCAATGGATTAGGAATTTATACTCAAGGTTATGCAGTTTACTCTTGTGAGTGACAGGACGGAAAACATTACCACCAATGTATGTCGCTATTGGGAGTTTTACCTCTGTAGTGTCGAAGGACGATGAGATCGCCAAGACTGGACCGAAGAAAATACTAATGTATCAGATTCGGTTGCGTATGATTGGGGACTGGTATCTTACCTGTCGAGCAGGTCTTGCGGCAATCCGACCCGGTCGAATCGCCAGAGCTTGTCATACACCACCGCGCTGATCTCGGAGCCGTACTTGCCTGGGGTGAAGTTCGATTCGATCGTTCCGGCGGGCCCAGCGGCGATCAATGTGCCACGGGCGTTTGCGTTGATGCGCATGGTGTTCACGAAGCATGGATCGAGCAGAACGAAGATCGGGTGCATCGCGCTCAGTTGCCTGTGACTGGCGATGACGAAAGGCTCCATAACGCAGTGACATTTCAGCCTGATGTAACAAGCATCGATCGTTAGCGTCTCCATTCGCCTTCCATAGCTACTCTGTCCGGCAGAGAGAGAGAGAGAGAGTGGAGCTCCTGAAAGTGAGGTTGGATGAATCTCTCTTAACTCGATTGCGCTTGAGTTGATAACACGTGAAGTTACTCACCAGTGAGAGACGAGCTCGTGGTAGCCGAAGTTCACAGACACGAAGTGAAGTTTGGCCAGTTCCCATTCGCAGTCGTGCTGATGTTTGAAAGCGGGTGGGGTGAAGACCTTGTGCTGGCCTTTGAGCTCACCATTGCGGGGTGGAGGCAGAGAGAGCTCAATAGCCACCGGCTTCATCTGGCGATCGTCAGTAAGAAAGAAGAAGGCACGTGGTGCATAGATGTGTCTCTTCGTGTCTGTCTGCGCGTTGATCCTCTCCACGTACGGGAGGTAAATGTCATGGTAATCGATTGTGAAAAGCCTCTTCGCCTGAACTGCCTGCGATTATCAACAAGACCATTGGAACAACGGTGAATTGACTGACAGTAGAGAAGATGGCGTATGGTACTTCCATGTGGAGGTCAAGGAAATACAATAAGCTTCTTGTACATTCAACCAGTTAATGCTAAATTGCTGAATGAAAATTGCGAAACCCATAAAAATACAGTTCGTTCAGTGCGCAGAAAGAAAAGTCCCTAATTGGCACAAATGCATACACAAGGCTTGATTCAGCTGACGCAGTGCGAGTTGCGCATAAGATTGTACCTCAGCAGCAGTCATTTTCCTGCCATGAGACCAGAGATTTGATTCAATATGCTGTGCAGTTAGAGCACTGGCTGGGCCGTAAATATCCTCTGGTAGACTGCTTGTGGCTGGGAAGACCTGTTCATACAGACAGCAAAAGAGTCAAACTTTTGGAAACTTCTATGCAGTGCACAATTGGAGCTCTCACTGGGCTTTATCTCCATAGAAGCTGCCCAATCTTATAAAATAAGAACGAAACAGGGCCCTACAAGATTCTGTTACAGTGTCAATCTCACCTTGGCTCGTTTTATCACACCCGGATTGATCCCGGCGAGCATTTGACGACCAAACTCTTCGTCATCCATCCAAGCCAAGGGATTATCTGTTTATCACAGAGCCTTTAGAGAACCATACATCTGGAGGCCGAGTACTTTTTGGATTGAAGAGCATGAATCAAGAAGGATAGAAGGTCTGATTTCTATAAGTTGTGCCAAAGTCGGAATGGACCTGTGGAGTGGGGTACTTGATATTCTTGATATCACCACCCGGAATGCCACCAAGCTGGGCAAACAAGTTTTGTTTCAGGAAGGCGAGGACAGCCTCCTTCTCTGCCTGAGTGGGTTGCAGTTCTGGGTGTTTGGGGAAGTAATCCATTCCATCCACGTACAAATTGAAAACTTCTTCAAAGCTGTCGAAGTCATCCGGAGTTTCGTCAAATTTCGCTTGAAAGATGGGCAACAAGGTTGCTGCTAATCCGAGGATGCTGTCCGCCATGAAACCCGATTCCTTCACTTTGCTGAAATCTTCGTCGCGAGGAACATAAACCTTCTCTCGCTGATAACCTTGTATAGGTGGAAGCGTCTCCATGCCCGTGTCTGGATCCAACCACCGGCCTCATCATCAGTCGAAATGAGCAGTTTACTTAAGGCTCGGATTTCAACCGAAAGTACAGCTTCAGATCATCCAGGTCCAATTCAAGCATGTGAATCCCAGTCCTCTCGTACTCTTTAAGAATTTGACACGGCTGAGAAAACGGGATCTCGAGTGCAAAAATACACCGTTTCAGCAACTTTTGCATGACAGTCGAAGCTCTAGTCCACATTACTACATCCGACCAATTTTACATTTCCAGCCTTTCTTTCCGTGCACGATCCTGTAACTAGCATACCTGGGTCGACCTTTCTGCCGGTCCTGCAGCGTCGAGGATAGGGAATATTGCCCCGACCGCCAAGAGTTGGGCGGATCACTTTCGCTTCTACATCGCCCAAGTCGTTGTAGACGTCGTAATCGTAAACACGATCCCACGGGTTTCTTTCTCCGGTGCCGTTACCACGCATCGTTGCCATCTCGAAATTTCTCAAAATCTGCAGGCCGCGAGGCGTGTCGCTGGGAAGATACACCTACACGAGCAGTCAGCAAGAGCAGAATGTAAGAGCCGCCAGGGCACGAGGGTGTTTAAGGATCGCTTCGAATTGTGCTTCGAGTTGTGTGACGTGAATGTGCATGACAGATCCGAAGGTACGGGCAGAAAAGTTTCGCTTACCGAGCGGATGCACGCGTCAAAGATATTGCGCAGTCTTTCTTACCTTGTTGGTGAAGAAAATGCGATCTATAACCAAAGTTTCATTGAAGTGCTTCTGGTATTGAGGACTTGCAGCAGTGATTTTGTAATTCTCTTCGCTCTTCTGATTAATCCAGGAATTGCAGGCAAAATCATAGCTCTGGCTCGAGTCCGGAGAGCTCAATCGCAGGAGCTGAAGGTAGAACTCTTCATTGCTCCTGCTGTCGACTATCAAAGCGCCCGGTTCGCCGAAACTACTCTCGACGCTGAAAGCTATGTCATAGAAGTCGTCGCTGTCGTTGCAGTCGTCCTGCAGTTGCGTCCTGGCACTCTTCTTCATGTTGCCCTGCTCTGTGTGACGCACGGAACGCAGAATTGACGCATCGTTAATGGTGGCCTGCTGTACACGAGGCTTTTAATCTGGATAAAGAATTTGTAAACAGCTCAGAGCTTCATGGCGATCTGAATGAGCGTGCCTAGAATATAGATAGTTTCAGCTCAGGCATGCAACGAATTCTCTCGTCACTCAACTTTGGTTAAGAACCGCCACGTACCGTCAAGTTCTGTACTGACGAGCGTGAACCAGACACTCTTCTGAAACTCGGAGAACTCAACAGTGGGTTTCGAGTCTTTGCCGATGGTTCTTGACAGTGTCAATTTTCCCTTCATCGTTACAATCTCTTGATCCACGTACCGAGCACCCGTTACCGTTCTTTGGAGAGTCTGGATCGCATTGGCACTGACGTCGATGTGGTCTGCTCGCACACTGAAGCGATTCTTGCGTCCTTTCGCATTGCAGTTCGCCTTTCTGCTGGTTACCCGCCCTGTATCCTTAACTGATTTACCCTTGATAGTGGAAAACTTCAATCCCAGTTCCTGAACTTTCACAGCTGAAGGTCTGGAAGATGGTAGAGATCCTAAAGGAATCGGCAGTGAGCTGTGAAGTCTGCTCATAGAGCTCGAATCCATTTTGGCGGAACCACAAGTCCTAAAACATTAACTACTTTCGAATTTGATCGATCCTGTCAATTCACGACGTACTGCATGAGATGTTAGAAAATCAATTTCACACCTGCAATCAGCATGTAAACCAGAACAAGGCTATGTGAAGTGCTATTCCAGCTGCTAGCTAGCATATTCTACATCCACTTTACGAGCTTGAACTACGAATCCCATCAACTAAAATTGAGCACAGTAGAAATTTTAACAGAAACTTGCAGATGCGCAGCCATCGCGCTGTCTTGATCAGCATACAAAAACCTTTGACGCCTGTCTCAGATCTTCTAATTTCTACGCAGCGTAATCCTGATCTCTGGAGCAAGTGCTTGCCTCTCTATTCTGCCTACTCCTAAGAGGAGAATGGAAAAATACTAGAATCTCAGTCGATTTCAACGACGAACTTTCTGCACCTCGTGAGTTTTGAGCTGGCACCAGATTTCCAAGAACCCTTCTCCTCTTCTGTAGCCACCTCCTCGTTTCTCAATTGCTATTCTAGGTCTCAGAGATATACGTTGCAGATGATTGAAATAATCGATGCTGAACTTCTACGGTAGGAGAGATACTTGTAATTGCTCAGATGTCACTTCTGTAAGAAATTTTATTCGTAGATCTGAACGCTCATAGAACGCGTTCAGTTCTCGGATCCTGTCAGAAGCTAGATAGATTCTTCCATAATATAAAAAATTTGAACTTTGGACCCACAGCCTATTCCCACATGTTCATCTCATCCGAAGATACAGAATATTTACCTCGAAGAGTTTAGACTTATTTGCTTCTGAGCGTGGGGGTATTAGCCTAATTTTTCATTTCGAGTCCCACCACGAACTCTTGCCGTCAAGCGCGTGAGGTCGCACACCACTCTTTTAGCAACGGCAGATCGTGAGAATTCGAAATTGACAAGTGGTAAAGAATATTCAGCAGAGATCTTATCCTCTAAATTGGTTTGTCTGAGTAGACTCACCTAAGAATGCTACGTTCACCATCAGCAGAAACGCAAATGCTTTTGCTGACCAGAATGAGCTGGTCTCGTTAAATCATAACAATGAATATACAATATCAGCTCCATCACAATGAGCCCCTTCAGCACGACTGAAATTTGACAATCTGGCCCTTAAGTTTGGCATATGAACCCGAGAAAGAAGAAACAGTAGCATAAAGAAGGGGACGTCATGCAACTCCCTTTAGTTCTACTCACCATATCCAGCATCTAAGTGAAAGTCTGGTCCCATGCCATTTGAGGTGCGAGATGATATCTCTGAAGTTTATTCTACGTGGCCTATAGCATGTGACCAACAACGGAATCTCGAAGAGGCTTATTTGTTGTAATGACATCTTCCAGGTTGATACTTACACACCACATCAGCACATTCAGATTTTGTTGTTTCTTAAATTTTCCGTCGCGCTCGTGCAAAGAAAATACATACTGCACCTAACATGTTGAGCTTTTTGGAAGAACTTGACATTTTAGGGATACTTTGTATAAATGCTCGGAACTATGTACCAAGTATAGGCTTTCTAGGTCATTTCGAGAAGCTTTGACTAGACAACAACACAGTGACTGCAGTGCCCTTGGAGGCCAAATTTTTTAGGGTAGTTCATGGTACAGACATTGAACTGCACCAAGACATTTTTAGGTCTCTTACAGCCATACCTCAAAACCCTTGTGTTCAGTGAGGGCAGGGTTCCAAGGACAATGGTTAAGAATAAGATAATCTGACCCCACGCTGCAGTACGTGACGATTTGTCAGCCTTATGGTTTGGTTGCCCGTTTCAATCTCGATAGAAAATGTCCAAGATCCCCTCAGCAATAATTGCGCATTTGACATTTCCCATGATGTTTCCTTTGAGGGCATCATCCAAAAGAGAAGCATGATGTCGAAATCTGCCATTATTAAACAACATCATGTGATTTATTGTAATTCTTTGCTATTTATGAAACATCTGTCGAATAAATGGAATACATTGGCCCGCAAACGGACTCAGAGAAAGGCATGGCGGTTACAATCAACATCATACCATGCATCTGTAATAGATGCCTTTGAATGCTAAGTGGGCGTGCTACCTTTCTGTTTTATATACTTTACATAATGTTCCGTATTCATGTAAATGAAAAGATGTAACTGTGCGTCCCATGGGTACAGAGTAGCTTCGTTCATTTCTGGAAAAGAAATAGGTCGTATCAGAGTATGCGACTCTTCACAGGATTGTGGAAGTATGTAGTTATACCCCTGAGGAACTCGGAACAGATGAAATTGATGAACTCTCAAAACCCAGAAGACCACCTGTTTAATGGCTAACATTGCTTCATTTAGTCGTCAAATGCTGCTTCGTTTTGATTTGAAATCCTTTACTCTTCTTTTAAGAGAAGAGAAACTATAGGCTGCAGAAAAAAGAAACGCGTCAACCGTGATGAATATGGAAATCTACCAGATTTCAGGGCTTCCTTCGCAGAGGTTTGCAAGACTTATTCTAAACGGAGGTTCACGAATGATAGTCAACAGACCATCCGGGGCTCCGCCACTGTCAGCTGCAATTCGGGCACGGACTGGATCCACCGAGACTTTTCAAGGGATATTGCTGGCTTTTTCTTTTCGCCAGGCCCAATAATGTACCCTTTCATATGTGTTTGAGATATCAAAAACCTGGTTCTATCATATGTATCCGTTATAAAATATTATAATATACGGAAAAGACATTTTGTGTGATTAACCAAAAGTTTGTACCACGACTGGTGAAGCCATGATGGGGTCAGTGCGATGAACTGCACCAAAGAGCCTCTCATTTGTGTACAACTACTCCCAATGCCACTGTGAGTCCGCTAAGCAGCGGCCAGTGTCCCTGCTTCGCCTCTGCGTTAAAACAATGTGGAATAGAGAATTATGACACGTGCGGATTCCCACGCTATTGAGGAATTCATTGGATGATATCTTCAAGCAGCCAAAGTGAAAGGCTTAATTGACGAAGCATGCCTGCATGTTTAATCATTGTGTCCACTCTGGACATGTCAACAACTTAAATGATGGCTGAGCACGTGCGTATTAGTCCACAGATATTTCTAATAGTTGCAGGTTAGTTCTTGAGCTTGAAGCAAATACACTGTAATACTTAGACGAAGAAGCATAAGCTGAACAGCGACCATTTATCAGACTGAGAACAGCTGAAACTGATGGTCGAACGTGGGATGTCCAACTCTACTAGTCGTTAGGACAGCAGAATACGCTCAGCATATATTGAGGTTCTGGTACGATAGTCTCCTGAGCATCCTTGGCTCCGCCACATAAGCATCGCTTCGGGCACGGACAGGATACCACGAGACTTTTAATGGAATTTCGATAGTTTATTTTCCCCATACTTTAATTCTCTACTTCGAATTCTGGCGATTATGAATCTGATAATTACAACACCGTCTGTTCTTTGGAGACTGAGTGGTCTAGAGCGTCTAAATCTAACACGGCAATTATATTTTCAGCATTCCTCTAGATTGCTGAAGGTTCTAATCAGACCCTGGTTCGGTCTGAGCAGGGGTAGAGAAAATTTCGAAAAAGGATGAACATTTTACAGTTCAATGTGCAAGCTTTAAAATGTCTGGGACCCGTAAATTGGCAGCCATAATACCAGGTGGATAGTTGGTGCACGCTTAGAGCTAGCACCAACTTTACTACGTTTATGTCTACGGTCAAACTTCAGTCTTCGCCTGTAAGATCGCGTGCGGAAAATCACCGTGTTTTCTAGGCTGTTGCTAACTTCTGAGACATTAGTTGTTCAATACTTTCAGCTACAGAAAGCACCACCTATCGATGCGGTGTAAATTACAAATAGATGCTACTCGCTCACTTTATCAACTGCTCTTGTACGGAGTAAATGCATTTTGAGCTTCTGCATCTTACTTTATCTGAAAGTGATTGCCGAAGTTCGGCTAAAGATAATCTACTAGATCCGTCTGAAGAGGTAAATAAACTTCACAATATGATTAAAGGACTCAAGAAACAAGAAACTCACGCCACAACCGTGGATATTCTCATCGGCATGGTCCTTAGCCCATTTGAAAATCTCTAGAAGCCTACAGCAATAAGGCTTATTGAGTGGACAACGCTTGACGTAGATGAGATTCACAATCTTCACGCAGCTGATTGGGAAGGTCATGGTTGATACCGGTTACATTCTGTCTACGATATTATGTGTTTTTCTCGTCATTTGGGTGGATTCACCCATAGTGAAACTGCTGGGAGCAGACTTAGGCTGTACCAAGGAGTCCCTATCCTAAGTAATATAATTAACATTGAAGGCCTAGAGTCCGAATACATAATTGAGGAATGTAAATACTTCAAAGTCCACCATGATTTGACAAGTGTAACATTGATTATCCAAACACCAGCATATACAGCAGTCAATAGTCCAACAATTTTCTATCAGAAATCCATCAATTGTTGGATAACCCCAACTCGTAACTCAAACGTCAATGAGTATAAGGCATGTATACAATCAACTTGACGTAAAGCTCCCATAATATGTAGGCATCTACTGTCAAGACTTCGACCAGGCAATCCACTACTGTTGACGATTGCGGGGGTGATAAGCTGAGAATAGAAACAACTGTCTTTTAGCCCCAACATATCTACACAAGACTACGAAAAAATTTTATCGGGAGTTTTGACAGAACTACACGGAACCATGATTCGGATTTGATGACATTATTACAGCTTGAAATCGAAGCTGCACAGCGGCTACCAGAAGGTCAAATGTAATGCAGAACAATGACAGAGTTTATAATCATTCCACGAATCAAACAAGTCATTAAAAATGTAGGATACAGTACAGCTGTAAACATTTGCTTCAGTCCAATCCAATGGGCTGAAATCAGCCTGTATTGGATATATCCCTCTCTGAACGAAGCACTCTTTTATCTCGTAGTAGGGACGCCATTCATAACTATTGAATTTAAACTTCTAGAGTCCGCATTAAGACACTCAAAACTACTGTTAGAAGAAGATTTCGTCTTGAGTAAATGAAAGCAAATTTTTTAAACACTGTCAGCAACATCTGTTCTCTGATTTTTGTTAATCTTATGTCGTTACCTTCTTCGACCTTTCCTAATCAGCATGGACTGTTTTCAGAGACCGCTCCTGGTCATGGACCTATATATTTGTGACAATATTCCCTCTATAAGGACTCTAATGTAACTTCTTGAGAATGCCTTCGTGCGAAACTTTTTAAATCTTGGCTTTTATCTTTAGATTAGTCCGACTTAGAATTTTATGAGACTTTCTCACTTGAATTTAAGCTGATGGTAGGATCTGAAAATTAAAGAGTTGTAAAAAAATTTGGAAGCTACTCCAAAAATTGGTTGATTATACAAGCTATGAGGGGAAGACGATAATGAAAATGTTGAAAACCGTACTGCAAGATTCCAGTTTAGCGACCTATTTACGACTTCACTCCAGTCACTAGCTTTGCCTTCGGCAACACCCTTCTCACGGTTATGTAGCAACAAGCTAGACATAAGTTGTTGAGGTCATAAGAGTTATGCCAAAACTTTAAAGCTTACAAGTATCATGCCTCCTAGTGAATTTGGACCACTGAAATTTAGGTGGGGTCTTTTTCATCGAATTTTGAATTCTTTGCGTGCCTTGAACTGGAAGTAATAAAAATCAAAGCTTCAATTCTCTCTAATAAACTGAAATTGAAATGAAGAAATCATAGAAAAATTTTATTGTTTTTAAAACCCTTGAGCATCTTTTTATGTTGTTTGGATGACTTTTGGACCCCAAACTTGGCCGTGAAGGTTTCATGTGGAGATAAAATATAAAAACGGCCCTCAATGTTCACATATATTATCATAAATTGTTCAAGATGGACAAAATGATGTTTTGGACTTCGTTTTAAGGTTACTCAATATGATCATAAAATAAACAAAAGCTTCAAACCTTTTTTTCTTTGTGATCATATTGAGTAACCTTAAACCTAAATATTTTGAAATATCACTAGGTTACTATTTGGAATCTTCAGTAATCATCAATCATTCATTTCTTACAATTCTTTATCATACTATATTCTATAATAAATATCATGATATATCTTAATAAATTCGAAAAATACGTAAAGAAAAAAATATTATCATGATCTTGTTATTTCTTAGTTAGCGTATTTTTTGAACTGTATTTTGAGTGAAAATTCCACGATATTAATATTGATTTCTCACTCAATATATCTTTCAATATTTATGATTCGTAAAAAATTTAAAAAAATGTTTGAAATATCACTCTAAATTCCAATAATATCCTCAAAAAAAACTTAAATCTATTCTGAGGTCTCAATTTCAGTTTCACATTTTGAATTATATTGGCAAGATGCCGATTTGCTAAATTGAGCGAATTTCTGAACACAAGATTTTTTTAATCATTATTTGATTATTTTTTGAGAATTAAATTTTTAGCTTGATGATACTTTGCTAAGGCTTTACAATTTTTGAAGATATTGAAAATCCTTAGCGAAGTATATCAAGTTACCTAATTTAAATCTTAACGTTGCATTCAATTTTGAATATAACATGTATAAAAAATTTTCTAACAGTGCTTCACGGACAAATTGATCTGAATTATAGGTGATAATCTTGCTGAAATGCATACCAAGCATTCTTTGCTGCAATGTTTGGCAGAAAAAAATTTGATTAATCTAAAGTCGTCAGAACTAAAATATTCTTATGCATAATTCTTAAACTGGATCAAATAGACACTATTCATTTTGTAAATTATCCATAAAAAAAATTTGGACGGACTCTTTTGTTAAAAAAAATTATTTTTTTAATTGCATCAGTATATTTTTTATTCATGTCCAAAAGTAGTAGGAACTAAAGCTCCCCATGTTGATCATAAAAGAATATATCATTAGTATCTTCAGAAAATCATGTAGTTCTCTATCTATTTTATAATTGATCATTCCAAATTTTTGAATCATGATTATTACAAAGTTGATTCATTTGAAAAGATTTGTATTCATATTTTACCTTACAAAGTATACTAAATGTATCTTCGCCTCTCCTTACGTTACTTTTTTGTTAATAGAAGGGCTAAATTAATTCATATATTAATCTATCATTTTTTAATGTAATTTATTGACAAGGTAGTTAAGATTAGACCATTTACTGTGCAAAAAGTTTATCTCATGTAGAATAGGATTTATCAGCAAAGTACCCTTCGTATCGAATGATACGTTTAAGCGGAATTTTTCTCTTCAAGATGATTCCGGCTCTCATGAATCTATCTATATCTCATGTGTAATCTGAACTTTAGAACTTTGTTTCTTTAGAGTTCTGAAGCTGTGATATAACTTTTTATATAAAGAAATGAAGATTCTTCTTCTCTTGTAAATATAACTTCTGTTCTTCTCTCTTCCTCTCAATTTAACATCTAAATCAAATTAAACCAAAAAGAGTAAGTTTTCCAACTGTCAATCATAAGATTGAAAACAGGCATATTTTATATATTTCTGTGTACACCTCAATTTTCAACTTTCAAAGCCAAACTTATTTCCTTCGTTGCTTTCGCTGCTGTCATTTACTCTATGTCAACAACTATTAAAGTCAACCTCTCTTGCAAAAATCATACTAATGAGACTTGTACACAAGCAACGAATAAACACATCTGTTGTGAATTGTTGATTATTCAGATCTCTTTGATACTCTGAATTGGCGTATCTCCAACGCATTTAGGAAATCGATGGTTATCTCCAAAAAACCTTCTAGGTAACAAATACTTACTTCACCAGTATATGGTCCCAACTCGGATCCACAATGCGCCTAATAAGCACACTCATTTCGTGTGAAATATCTAATTTATTGTATACTATGGCTTGCATGAAACCACGTATAAAGTTTTCAAAATAATCTTTGTTCGTGATGTCATTCTACTTCTCTGAACTTGGGCAAGTATTTGACCACGAGAGATGCGAGCCATACACCCGCCATGATCAAGAACTAAGGTTTCTTTTGAATGCTTTATCTTTCCTTTAAGAGATTCAAAAAAACTCTTGATGGTCCCATGATAATCCAATTTGATGGTATTTTTATTTTAATTTTTAACAGTATTCATTTGAGGTACTCTTCATAAATGAACTTTGAGTTGCAATCTCCATGCTATAAGTAGCTATCAACATATTATCCACCAAAGTCAAAATAGCATGTCATCTTTGGAAGTATACATAATTATCAATGTTAATAGTTGGTATCCTTGTTGTATTCCATCGCCTTGGAGAGGAGTTCAGTCCATAAGGGTAAACTTTCGATTTTCAAACCTTATCCTCCTTGAAATATAAATCTAATTAATGTAGAACTCCTTGTTTCAATCTTCAATTTTCAATGTAATTACCTTGTTAAATTGATTGCCCCGACTTCAAAAGCTAATTCACAACCATAGTAGGGTGGACTTCCAAAAAAAACTCGTCCAATTTTTTTCATTTCAGCTTTCCATTATCGATCCTGTCTCCTTTAACTGAGAAAATTTATAAAAGCGAGAATAATAGAACATAGTCAGGCTTTTTTCAACCTAGTGAATTGGTTAATGGACGCAAGGAACACCATATATTACACTTAGTCATATGGTTCTAAACTCGTTTGACATTATGCCAGTTCAGTTTATTGTGCTAAATGTACATCTAGCCCTCCATGAGGCCTTCTGATGACCGGTGTCGGGGATTAACAGTCCCGTTGATTAAAATTGGCAGCATTTCCCGAACTTACTGGCTATCGGACGGACGGAATTGACATAACCTCAAAAATATAAGACACAAAGCATCGAAACACAATGATTTACCAGAGATGCATTTTACTATCAGATGAAGATCACTCCGTATCTTCCAGAATCATCATGCAAGGGATCGGTACATCTGAGGAAAGGGGTGGACGGAAGCACGTGTGCTGCGAAGAGATCCTATGCATTACACCTGCTCGAGATGAGGCCAATATTTCTTGCTGGTTTATATCAGAGCTTTTAGCTCGAAATGCGATTATAGTACAGCTGTACAGCTGCTTTCCGAGAGACAAGCAATGAAAGTCCGTGCTGCTTGATTAGTAGCAGTCGAGTAAGCTATTTATGTACAGAGGGCGTCGCTTCCTATTGAAGCCTGTGAGCCTGTAAGCCTGTCTAGATAGAAATACTCCATGGGATACCTCTACCAGTCACTCCGGGTTCAGATGTGGGGTACATGAGTGTGTATCCAGACTTTTCCAGGGCGCCGCGCCTATTCTTTAAGTCCTTCCTTTGATGGTTTCTCTGATGGAACATGTGCTCCAAGCGTTCGACCTTCTGAGCATATTTCTGGAACACTTCCAGAACTTTTGGATTCGAGGTCCAGTTGCTTTTATGCTCCAAGCGCTGGCCGATGTACTCCTCGTCCTTGGCGTGGGTCGAGAGGACGTTGAGCGTGGTCATGATCATGAGAGTTTGCATTGGCGAGGACACCACTCTGAACATGTAAGCCTCGAAATCGTAGCACATTCGCTTGTACTCTGCTGTGTTGGGCTCCGGAATCGGCCTTCGGGTCATCGGGGGCCGGTTCAGCATGAAACCGCAGTATCCGTATTGGCCGAAGTTGACGGCGGCATGTTGAGGTCCCGCGATCCACAAAATGTTGCACAGAATCTCGATGAGGCTTCCGACTGTCTTGCAAGTTGGCCACCACGGTTCGTCCTTCTTGTCCCCGTGTCCTACCTCCCTAATCTCCTTCCACCATGCCTGCAGCTCCTCATCCTCCCTCACTTTCTCGTCTGAAGAATAGAATATTTTCACGTAATCCGTGATGTACTCCTTGGTGGCGTTCCACACATCCAACGCATCCTTGGCGAATGGGTAGTCCTCGAACAGGAGCTTGACTCCTCCAGGTGCTGAGTAATCATGCTCTGCCATTCCCCTGCGATAAACGAAGCAGCCAAATTTCAATATAGATCATGATCAGACATAGACGACAACCGATCGTCGAGAAGACGATTCAATGCATTATCCAGCTCAATAACCTGAAAATCGTTGGACATTTTGTTCCGCCTGATGTGCTTTCTAATGTGTGCTGAAGGTTTTAGATATTATTTTTTCTTACCTGTCAAGCAGGTCATGTGGCAGTCCAGCCCTGTCGAATCGCCAAAGCTTGTCATAAACCACAGCGCTCATCTCATTGCCGTATTTTCCTGGAGTAAAGTAAGATTCTATGGTTCCCTCGGGCGCACAAGCAATCAAAGATCCACGTGCATTGGCGTTTATGCGCATGGTGTTCACGAAGCATGGATCGAGGAGCACAAAGATCGGGTGCATTGCGCTCAGTTGTCTGTGACTAGCTATGACGAATGGCTCCATCACACAATGGCATTTCATCCTGATCACAAGCAACGCCCTCAGTCAACCCCAGATAGCAGTGGATGTGACGTGGTTTCATACTCAGTACTCATTCCTTGATCCTAAGCGTGCCCAAATTAGAACAAAAAAGTTTGATCATTGCACTGGAGCCAGGAGTCAGATGCAGTCGTAATTAGACTCATTCATCGCAGTAATGAGCGGTTTCCTTCTGACAGCAATGATGGAGAATCCATCTTCAATAAATGTGCATGAGTCTCGCAGCTGTCAGATATCAAGTTACGTACCAGTGAGAGATGAGCTCGTGGTAGCCGAAATCCACGGAATTGAAGTGGAGTTTTGCCAATTCCCACTCAGAGTCGTGCTCGTGCTCGAACCTCGGTGGGGTAAAAACCCTCTTGTGGCTCTGATTTTCACCGTTGTAAGGTGGAGGCAGCGAGAGCTCAATAGCCACCGGCTTCATCTTTTTGTCATCCGTGAGGAAGAAGAAAGCACGTGGGGCGTATATGAAGCACTTTCTGGGTTCTTCACCATCCTTCGTGAGAACTTTCTGGGAGTTGATCTTGTTGATGTACGGCATGTAAATATCATGGTAGTCAATAGTGAAGAGCCTCTTCGTGGCAACAGCCTGCGATGTTCAGAATCCATCGAAAATTTAGTGAGTTAGATACAGAGAGACCCGTGTTTCTCTGAATCCAGTGATAAATTCAAACTCAAGTCTAGATTCGTTTGAGGCCACGTCAGGCACTGACCTCTGCTGCAGTCATCCTCTTGCCGTTGCTGAAGAGATATTGTTCAATGTGCTGTGCTGTCAGAGCAGTGGCTGGGCCATACTCTTCCTCGGAAAGGGCGCTTGTAGGTGGAAAGACCTGTTGATGAGCGCAGCACTACGGCTTTAGTCGTACCGAGAAACTTGTAAGCGTAACATCAGCATTCTACAGAGATCAATACTTGCTGCATAAAGTCCATGTTGTTCAGAAGTGGACATGCAACTGTAAGAACTTAGAGCAGTAGCAGCGGAGAAAGAAGACTGACCGTGGCTCTCTTGATAACCACCGGATTGATACCGGCGAGAGTTTGTCGTCCAAATTCTTCGTCATTCATCCATGTCATATGGTCCTGGGGTTCTGTTGAAGACGGAACATATACGAGAGGAAAACGTTTAGAATCAGAGGAGCTACGGAGTCGATAACTCGACGAGCTAAAAGAGACCGATGGCAATCACACTCTGCAGGTGTTCGTGTTGTCATACCATCGACGATCTGTGGAGGCTGGTACTTGATCTCCTCCAACTGGACCCGCTGACCCGAATTTTCCTGAACGTAGTCCTCAAGGAATTTTCGAACGTCTTCCCTCTCTTTCTGACTTGGTTGAAGTTGTGGATTCTCTGGTAATAGATTCAGTCCGCTTCTGTAGAGGCTGTAGAGTTGGTGCACATTGTCGAAGTCATCGGGAGTTTCGTCGAATTTGGCCCGTAACATGGGCACCAGCGTTGATTGGAGTCCCTTGAGACTGTCCCCTTGAAAGCCTTGTGTCTTGTCAATGCTGAAATCTTCGTCACGGGGAACGTACACGCTCTGTCTGAAGTTCGTTCCTGGGATTCTCGCTGGGCGCACCTCCATACCCGTCTCTGCTCCACCCAATAAGATCATCAGTCAAACTCTCAAGATCGGGTATCAGCAGAACGGAACCAAGAAACTCAATACAGGGTTCAGATCCTCTAAGTTTCGATCTGAGACCGTCGGATCGAAATGCAGGTGGAAAATGATTGCTTCTGAAAAGTCCAAACTTATGATCGCAAATTTCCTGTCATACTAAAGTTCTTTTCCTCTTCATTATACGTGACTATCGGGAAAGTCTGCCTGTGCGACGAGGAAGCGCACTGGAAGAAATGTGCACTGGATCATCGAGAATTTCACCGATTTGGACGCATGACAATTGAGAAATTTGATTCGTCTACTTATTCGGCTTACTTTCATCGACCTTTCGGCCCGTCCGGCAGCGTCGAGGGTAGGGAATGTTGCCAGGACCACCCAGAGTTGGGCGGAGGATGTTGGCTTCTGCGTCACCCAAGTCGTTGTAGACATCGTACTCATAAATACGATCGTGGTGCTTCCTCTCTCCGGTACCATTCCCGCGCAGAGTCGCCATCTCGAAACTTCTCAGCTTCTGGAGTCCTGAAGGGGTGTCTTTGGGAAGATAAACCTGCTCCATCAACGACAGTACACGATTAAAGTCTGGAAGAACCTTCTGGCGGCAACGAAAGGAGGAAGAAGCTAATACTTGACTTCGACCCTGAAGTCGGTGTACAACAACCATTGAACTTTTTCTTCAGGCCGTTCGCACTGTTGTGATAGATCTCTGTGCACAGGCAGAATCTCACCTTGTTGGTGAAGAAAATGCGATGGATGACCTCATTGAGGAAGTGGGATCTGAACTGGTCTTTGGTTGCGACTAGTTTGTAGTTTTCTTCGCTCTTCTGATTTATCCAGGAATTACAGGGAAACTGATAAAGCTCAGATGAATCTGCAGAGCTCAGCTCCGCGCTCTGAAGGAAGAACTCCTCCCCGCTACGGCTTTCCACAATCAGTGCGCCAGGTTCGCCGAAATCGCATTCTACGCTGAAAGCAATTTCGCAGACTTCGATCCCACCCACGCAGTGAGAGCCGTCGACTTGCATCTGAGTCCTGGCACTCTTCTTCAAGTTCGCCTGCTCTGTTTGACGCAAAACATACCAATTTGACTTTTCTTCTTCAAATACTTCAATAATGGTCATCCTGTGCGCTGGAGACTAAAGTCATTGATTCAGTAGAAAGCAGTCCTCATTTCATGACAACTCTCTTGCTCTCTTCCACTCTCCAGCTGCTTTAAAGTCGCGTACATTCACTGAGTGGCAGTTTATGAACCCATGCATTCCTGAAGAGAATTGGCTAAAATAAACTCTTCGAGCATGAAGATCTTATCAGTTGACTTCTATCGATGCTTTTTTATTCACTACGTATCTAAGTACTGCAAAATCAGATCAACCATACGAGCTCTTTCCAAACTAAGAATGACAACTGACAGAAATCTCAACGATCGTAGCTTACCATCAAGCTCCGTACTGACGAGAGTGAACCAAACAAGCTTCTGAAAATCAGCGAAGGGAGTTGTTGGTTCGCTATTGGTCTTGGAACGTTTGAGGATGACTTTGCCTTTCAGCGTGACGATTTCTTGATCGACAACCGGCACAGTTCTCTGGAGAGTGGAGATAGCATTAGTGCTGACGTTGATTTGTTCCGCTCGAACCTTGAAGCCAGTCTTGCTTCCTTCAGCACTGCACTTCACCCGTCTGCTGCTAACACCCGCAGCGTCCTTAATTGACTTCCCGCTCAGAGAGGAAAACTTCAGACCCAATTTCTGGGTTTTGACGGTTGACGGTCTGCCAGCCGCTAGAGCTTGAGTGCAGGACGATGCGATCGGTCCAGTGGAAGCAGCTAATGAACTCTGTAATCTACTCACAGTGCTAAGATCCATGGTTGGAGCTGTGTCAAATCACCTTGCTCTTCTCCTCTAGTCCTGTAACACACGGCCCATACTAGTAAGGAATGGATGTCACCGATCGACAGTTTTAAATACTTCCGAAGAAACTCAAGATCAAGCGACTGTTTCCAAACTAGTGTCCAAAGCTGCTTCGAATGCCACTGCAAGATTTGAGATTTGAAGCTCGGAAATTGATCAGACTTTTCGTTAAAGACCTAGGTCTACCAATCGAGCCACATGGAAATCGCAGCTTTGATTTCATGATCTTACGAGCACATCAGAGTTTTCTAAACAACTATGAGCTACAAAATCCTATCGGAACCCAGACTGAACTTCTTCCTTAAACTTTTACCAGCATAGTGCCTAAAGTCGTCTCACTCTCAAAACCAGCTGAGATTACACGAACCTGTCCAGCGACTCCAGAGTCCACCACCGCCCCGTGAAGTTTGACCTGGGGGCGAGATATGATCAATACTTTCCCTCCGTCTCTGGCTTCGTTCGACTAGGTTCCTGAAAGACTTGAATATGTCTCCAGGATCTCTAGTCCGAGCTTTGAGGAGATGAGTGTTGGACAATCACGAGCATCGAGTTACTTATACTTGCCACTCTATCGCTCTTTCAGAACATCTTCATTCTTGACAACTGAGGTAGGCTGCTGTGTCAGTTGAAATTTGTCAGAATCGGCACCGGTCGTCTTGAGCATGTCACTGCTGAAGTCTGCGGACCCACTGCCTGGTCATGTCCGTACACCTGCTGGTGCCGAAATAGTAAAATAATCAGGAGATTGAAGCACTTGTTTCAGGCACCAAGAGCTTCTCTCGCTAAATTTTGAAGCTTCGACATTTTAGTATGCGAAGAAAAGTCACCGCCCATTCGAAGTTGACCGTATCCGCAACGAGGAACCCGGACAGAATAATTCGACTTCGAATATCATATTCATCCTGCAGGTGAGCGATGAGATAAGTTTCACACTGTGTCGAAGAGAGCGGCTGAGTTTTCGAACAGTGAGGTATGGGTAGATCTTCAGTATACATCGATATGAGACATAAGCGAAACTAATTTTATAAATATCCAGTCTTGTGCCATTGAGTCAACATCTTCGGGCGAGGGTTCAGGACTACGTCGTCACGAAAAGTCATAAATGTTTGACTTCGAGAGAGAATACGAGAGAATAATTTGTAAAGTTGTTCAGCATTGACAAGTGTAAGTTTCTATGATAATCAACATTCTTGCAGTCCAGGGTGGATGGGAACACAACAAAAGCCTTCTAGTATCGTGCTCAGTCTTGTTCTACCTTTTGAGCGAGGAGACTTTTTGAGAGGGAATAGGCCTGACCTAAAGGTCTTTCGGGACTGGAGCTACCATGAGAGTTCTGGATTCTGTAAGTTTATTTCTGCTCAATGCTGACAACACTAGAAATGATGCTACGTTTTCAAGCTTTTCTTGCATTTCTTCTATATTGCGCATGCATATGAAGATGGCCAAAATGATAACTGCAAATATGACATTACAGTACAATGCGTGTGGCGTATTACATTTGCTTAGTCCTATGCCCGACGACTTCGAAGGAATATAAGATCGGGGACACTGATTGACTGAAAAGAAAATTTACAGTAAATCTGAACGATACTTGAGTATGTTGTAATGTTGAACAGATACTACATTACAACGCACTCAAATGCGTCTTGATGTGTACAAGGTTTAAGTGATTTCTCCGATAATCAATGAAAATGAATAAAATGTTGCAAGAAGTAGATTCACTGAGCTTCCCGAAAGGATAACGGAGAGAAACTCCTTTCGTGATTGTTCTGAATAAAAGTAGACAAAACTGCATGAACGCATGTCTAGCCCACCCCGTGAAAGAATTGGCAGTGTAGGCCATTACTTTCTCAAAGGCGGCCACCAACTTCAACTGACTCACTTTGTACCATGGCCGAATATCATGCCATGAGGAGGAAGATTCTGGCTTTTTCGGTCAAGTTAGGACTTGCTGCGTAGAAGCTTCCCAGGCATTGGTCGTATTTTTCTCTGCAGATCAAACCTCTGGTGACGAGTGACATCCATGGAATTGTTTATGCATTCTACTGAGGCTTGTCAGTTTTCTCTTTGGCTTACGATAGGGTCAAGTGCCTGACTTCACTTTATTCTGTGTAGGATCCCTTTAGTATCCCTTTTGTCCCACAATCCATTTTTGGGTTCTCATTAGACTTTAAACGGTTGCTCATTATTCTATTTTAAACTTTTCGGACATCTTCACTTATAATCGCTTGATAAGCTTGACTCTTCGGCAGTAAAATGAAAAATTGTAATGTAAAAGAACTGAATTGTCTTGGAGGTTAATTTCTGGTCAAGTGGGGACAACATAGAACCGCGTTGTTGTCCGATGCCTCACACAATCACTTTAGGAATTAGCTCTGCAACATGTTTGCTTTTTCTCACTGATTGTTTAGCGATGATTTCTATTTTGGGGCTAGCCCCATTCTAACCTGTTGGACTTGATAGGGTCTTCCCATTAGAGTTGGAGGCACAACCTCCAAGGGCATGCCCCGGGGCGAGGGCACGGGGGCATGCCCACGGGCATGACCCATTCGCATTTTCCATATGAGGGCATGCCTGTATGTATAAAAAAATTATACATACCGGCATTATGTATTAATATATATATATATATACTCTAGAGTTACATACGTATATTTTAGAGAAATAGATTGTGAGATAAGTGAGGAAATAAAACTGTTTTCACTTGGAGATTCTGCTGTAGTATTTTCTGTGTTTTAAGCTTTCAAATATCCTACTTAGTATTCTATTTATATAGAAATATATTGTATGATACGGTAAAATGTACGTATTTTTATATGGTCATGCCTTTTGATCTTGAAAGGGGCATGGGCATGCCCCGAGAAATTTTGTTGTGCCTCCAACTCTACTTCCCATACTTTTTGCTATATCACTAGGTTATCGTTTGGCTCTCACTATCAGAAAGCCGACGTCAGTAGAGATGAATCCTGAACTTGGTTCCCCCTAGTCTTAGCATAGGAACAGTAGGATACTTTCCAGTCGGAAGAACATGGGTGATGAGATTAGGGACAGGGATGGAAAGGTAAATTCGAGAGTAAGTTAGGTGTCCGTGAGTAGTTTTTCACCCACTGCACTGTTATACATTGCGGCACATTGGAGTGACCATTTTAATTTCCATTCGATACTTAATGTGAACACTATGAACAATCGCATAGAAATATATTAAATAAACCGCTGTATAGATTATATTCTTGTCATAGAGATATCATAGTTCTTCGAACTTATGGGGTCGGAGAAAAAAATTAAAAAAATTCTACTTTTTTTATCTTGTACCATAATTTTGTTAAATTATATGGAAATCATTGAAACAATGCATTTGTACAAACATGAATTATTAGTCAGTCCAATCCATTAGAGTATAATACCATAAAGAGATGTTCCTTCATCTACTGTTGTAATATTAGTACCTCTTAGCTTCATTAGTTTAGTCACAAAAATGAACAAATCTCATTTTGATGATATTGGGGCTAGCACTCTTTATTCAATGGCATATACTATCTATAAATATATATATATTACAATCATAGGTTTACTGTATCTGAAACAACCTGCAAACTTTATTGCATTACATGTCAAGCTCCATTCGATGCTGGTAAGAATCAAGATGAACTTTAGGATTCATTTGATCACTTTGTTATCTTGTCGCCAGAGATATCAACTATGGTACCACCTTGATTTCCGTGCACATTTGAAGATTGGGGCTTCTCGGATTAAAAAAGGATTAATGGCCCATGCATAATAATCACATTTAAATCATGTACTGCACATTTATTTTACATGTATTCAAAAGACCATCATATCACTTTAATATCGATTATAATGAGTATCTTGACTTCGGACCTCTACCTCATCCTCTAGTCTCACTTTGCAATTCCTTTTAAGAGCCAACAGCCAATACTATATATTTCGTGCATTTTCTCGCTTGAGTGATTTGATTGGATCACTCCTGTGTACCCTTTATAAGTACCTAAGTTGAAAATCGATATTTCAAACAAGCCCATGCAATATTCCTCTTTTAGAACCCCTTCCGAAGGAAAGTCATATTACTCACAAGATGACGTGTAACGGAGACTAATTCCAGATGGGGAAGAATTCGAAAGTTCTATTGAGATCATTTGATGATATACTGTATACCTCTATATTTGTTAAGAATGTCATTCGTTAGCTTTACTACAGAATGGAGGTTTTCATAAGAAGTTCGTGAAGAATTTGGAATTCGATTTGACTCTAACTCTTCAGTGCATAGATACAGATCCATAATTTAAATTTGAGAAAATTTGAATTGTTTGAGTGGGACAAAATTTAGCGCTTCATTTGAAAAACGAACATCCAAATATCAAGGATTCATTGAAATATTTAGCAATATGACACTATTAGAAATTAGGTCATAGTCTACATGTTTAATGGATTCCTTATAATCTTCTCATTTTATTTTGTTATCTACTTGACACCGTTCCATCCGTTTCTTTCTCACACAACAAAATCAACATGAAAAATAAATGAATACAATGCTCTTTTATGATTTCATTTATTACTAATATTCTTATCAATTTAGTTGTAAAATAATTTTCACGCAGAAAAGGAAAATTATATTTGAAGATGTTGTGAGCTTAGTAAAAGTATAAAAGCATATGAAAAGTATAGCATATCCCACATGTGAAGGTTTACAACTGACTTTGCTAATAAAAATGGACGACAAAACTTAAAACAGCTCATGATGTACACGGATTTCATGAAACAAAATTCTATGATATTTATTTAGTTGTCTTATCATATCAATCTACTCTGGAGTACAATTGCCCACAATAAAAGTTGTTCTACTCTCACGAATACTCCTATTTTTATATTACTGAAAACACTGATACTTCTCATGTCTACCTAATGACATGGCATGAAGCCATGATGTGTAACAGGGAGAGATCAACGTATTTGTCAAGTCAATAACGAAGATGATGTTAAATAGGAATTTTATACATGTAGTCATCGTTAACTACATTTATAGCGTGTGGTTGTTATTAGTTATGTAGTTGTTATCTCCACTCCCTTGAATTGGAGTGAAGATGACGAGATCAAATGAATGATTATCCAACCTTCGTACTCTCTTCCTTCCTCTTCCTACTACGTTCTTTCATTATTCGACATCCCCACCAAGTACAGAGTTTTTCTCACAACTTAGTTGCTGTACACAAATGACAATTGTGAAATGAATCTCGTATACAAGTGCTCGCATCTAACTTTCATTATGAGTTGCAAAAATTATTTGAGACACAAAATCCATTACCAAAGGGAATTCTCTGTACTTATATAGGACCTAATTTGGTCATAATGTGAAGTATGGGGAATCCTTACGGTAATTTTTAGAACCTTTATCGACGCTTTATGCAACCTCTAATGGTTTCTCAGGTAATGCCATTCGACTGAACCAGCCACAAGCAAGTGGTCTCTTATACCTGGCGCATACAAGTCCAGTCCCTGTCTTTTCTCGCATCGAAAAGTTCTCTTCAGAAGAGTAGTCATCAGAGCGGTTGTGAAAGCACGCTGTGCTGCAAATTGGCTTAAACTGTCTCTGGAAGAGATGACTACAGTAAAGGCAGGACTGACTGTTTTATCGCAGAACGCGTCCTGCGATAAAAACAGGGCAGCAAGTAAATATGCCAGAGGTCACACAAGCACGACGAGGTACATGTACATATCACCAACCAGATTCATGAAGGGCACCTTTTTCTCTAATATGGATTCTGTCTTGTGTGTAGCTTCGTGCCCATTGAGTCAGAACCACCGAACCACGGCACTCGTTTATTAGGAAAAAACGTGGGCCAAGGAAAGAAACTCTATGCTGGATTCTGGAAACGTGACCATTGTACAGTACGGTCATCACGT